TGTGTAATCAACTTTCTATTATCTATTAAAATGATTTAATTGTTTCTTCTATTAATTAAACTTCACTGTTATTTTTATAGCAATATCTCCAAGTTCTGTATTTCCTTATAAATGAATTTTCTGAGTATAGAAGGATTTTTAGTGAATATTAGTATTCACAAAACTTTGAAATCATGCGAAGCATGGGCAATAAATTAATCTAGATACTGCGCAAAAACCGCACTTTCATTTCATATTACGATAGACATAAGAAAATAATTATGACAAACACTAATGGCAAAACATCCCACGTCATTAATGCATGAAAATCCACTTATATATGTGTGTATATAGAAAATGTCACCAAAAATCTCAAATTATGACCGCTGCGACACATTTATTCATAACTTTTTTCTGTGAAATCAAAAATCCAAAACTTGTACCCGCGTAACACATTTACTTCCGTTAAGATTCCGTCAATAAGAATCGTTAAAAATCTACCTCCATGAACGCCGAAAAAACAAACGGTGTTGACACTTAAGTGAAATAAACACGACGTTGTCTTGGTCAAAGAATCACTCGACTGAACCTTGACAGAGGGTAAATGTGTCACATAGGTACAAGTACGAAAAAGTTGAAGGTATATGTGTCACAACAGATATAATTTGGAATTTTTGATGTCACAAAAAAAGTCAGGGTAAATGTGTCACGGACAGTAGGAGTGTTGGAACTGAACTGAAAAACCAAACTGAACCGAACCGAGAATCGAAAATTTCATGCATTTCAGTTTGGTTCGGTTTTCAATTCGGATAATGGAAAAATAACCATTCTTTTTTTCGATTCGGTTTATTTCAATTCGGTTCGGATCGAACCGAACTAAAAAAATAACTTCCTCCCGAATCCTTCCAAAACTAGAAAAAACGAAAACCCTAATCCTCAAATCCTCTCTCTCTTGCCTTGTTTCGCGTTCTCGTGGCTCTCTCGGAGCTGCTCAGCCCCTCTCTCCGCCATGTCGGCTCCTGCATTTGCACCGAGCATCTGCCAACTTCCGACGGTCCTTCTTCAGCGTCAGCACGCTGCACTGTGACGGTTATCTCTCTCTCTCTCTCACACACACTCCATCTTGCTCAACTACATTCGGCGTGTCTTGCAGCTTAATTTGTACTTGCGATTTTCGGATTTGTTGCATTGCTCCTCTGCTTGCGGTCTTAGTTTTGAGTCGAGGTTTAGCCGTTGCAATGGTAGCAATGTTATCTTAACTAATTAGCAGCTTCTGTCCTGGTGCTCGGCGTCGAGAAATTCTTAGCCATTTTTGGTTTTCCCAGAGGAACCGAGTGAGATGGAGACTCTTTAGTCTAATTGCTACCTATTGTATTTTTAGCTTCTTTGCTAGATAAATATGAAAGCAATGCGCCAGAAACTCTGTGATACAAGCAATCACACGACTCTCGTGTAATTTCACAACGACCCTTTGGGTCAAGTGTCCTGCCATTTCTTAGAACTTATGTATTTCTCCGTAAAATTATGCTTATATGTTTTAGTTGAAAAAAATTTCCAGTTTTGCTGCTCTAGTATTAAACTTTCATATCAAGTTCCATCCTCATAATTCTTCTTTTTTTTTTTGGACAAAGTTGCCATTTTGAGCTTGCTTTATTGGCTTCCCTTTTCAATTATGTTCCTATTTCGATTAAGTATTTGCTTGTGATACAAAAGTGTTGACAACTTGATGCAATCACTTGAATCATATGTATATTGGTCTGACACATTATATCTTATTATAAGAATAATTTCAGGTTCTAATTGTCATAGATGAAAAGATTGATAAATGTCTTCAATGAGTGAATCTAGTGGCACAGATAGAAGGAGGATGAGATCTGCTGAGTGGGAACACTTTAAAAGGACAGAAAATAACCCAAACCAAACTGAATGTTTATATTGTGGGGCTCTTAATGGTTGTTCTACTAGTCAAGGGACAAGTGCAATGTGTAATCATTTAGGTAGATGTAAGCAATTTTCATATGCGAACTTTGAGAAAAGGCAAAAAAGTATCTCGGGTCAACTTGTTAAGGTTAGTAGTTCTAGTTCATTTAGTCCATTGAAATTCGACCAAAATGCTAGTCGAAAAGACCTAGCAGTGATGTTCATCATTGGTGAATGGTAAATGAGGCATTTTGGTAATTTGGGAGTAGAATCCAACCGAAGTTTTTAATCCCCTCAAGAAACACATTGAGAGAGGACTGATATAAATTGAAAAAAAAATTTCGATATATCTCCAAGGGTTTATCTCAGAAGTGACACATGGAATTCTTGTCAAAATTTGAGTTACATGTGTTTGATTGCTCATTTTGTAGACATTGATTGGAAGTTGCGAAAGAAAATATTGAATTTTTGTCAAATCCTAGGATATTCTGTTGAGATTATAGGAAAAGCGGTTGACAAATGCTTGACTGGCTGGGGAAATAAAAGAATTTTTTCCAATCATTGTGGATAATGCAAGCTCAAATGACTTGAGCGTTCAATACTTGAAAAAAGACTTAACTCTTGGAACACTCTAATTTTGACAGGCGAGTTACTCCACATGAGATATTGTGCTCATATATTTAGTTTGGTTGCGAGAGAGGATTGGAAAGATATAAATGATTCCATTGTTAGAATACGCTCAGATGTGCATTATGTGAGGTTTTCTCCTACGAGGTTGCAACGGTTTAAGGAGTGCATTGAGCTAGAAAATTTCGAGTCCAAGAGTCTTGTATGTTTGGATGTGGAGACGTGTTGGAACTCAACATACATGATGTTGGAAGCGGATTTGAAGTTTCAAAAGGCTTTAAACTTAGTAGATATTCGGGATAGAAAATTTGCTGTAGAACTTTCCTAAAGTGAGAGGGTTGCCTACTAGTGATGATTGGGAATATGCTCGTCGATTTCTTCATTTCTTATACGACTTTAAAAGTATCGGGTTCTTCTTTTTTATCATGTAATTTTTTATATCCTTCAATATTACAATAGATATTTTAATTCTCATTTTCATTGTGAATTTAATGCAGAGTTGTTAATTGTGACCGTGGAGCTGAACTCGATATTGGTTTCTCTTGATGATTAACGAACTTGGGGACTGGTTCTATCTATTTTGACTCTTCTAAACATTCGGGATCTATCTCGGTCGCCGAAAACTGCAACTTGAATTTGCTTGGGAGATGGCTATTGTCTAATAATTGGATTGTCATTCTCACTGATTCAGTTTATGTGGCTTCATGTCGAGGACTGTGATTCTGGATTGTCCCTGAGTCAACGGGTTTCTTGTTCTCAATCTTGCTGCTGCTACACTATCAGATTCCTTTGTCTGGTTGAGTTCGTAGTAGATTTCTCTTGAAGAAACTGTTGGATGCTGTTAATTAAAAAAATTTCAAAACTTACAACCCTGTACATTTGCTTCTCCGTTCTCTTGCTGCGAAGCTGCATCTGATCCAGTCATCGGATCTGCTTGATTTTGCTCGGTGACGGGGGCTATTAGGTGGCTGTCTGAGTGCATGCACTACGTTGACAGATGTAGCACAGGATGGTTCTACGAAATGGTGTGTGGGCTTTTCAAAGGCGCAGGGCCTAACAACTTGCATTTGCTGGTGTCCTAGACTTGGTTATCCATTTTCTATAATCAAAAGTTGCTGTTAATTCTTATCAGTGAGCTAGCTGTGGAAGCTTGTTTAGCATCTGCAAGCTTTTCAACCGCTTCCAATCCGATAAAATTTCTTGATAGTTTTGTTCAATTGCAGTTTGATAATTTGATGTTTGCGTACCAGATGATTGTGAATGGGGTATCTTGTCTGCATGTGCAATTCATGAATATCTGAATTTGGACAAATTTTGTAAAACCGGAGGATGAGTGTGCGTCAATCATTGAGGCTACATATAGTTCCTTGTTCTGCCGAAGGTTCACATGTTTAAGACCATCTGGTAGAATCTTTATCCACGTGCTTCTAGCCAGGGGTGATTGGCTCCTGATCCGGTCTGATTCCAAAGTAAAATTGGGAACCGGACCGGGAGGATCGGTTCCTGATTTGGCCTGTCCGCCCCTACTTCGAGCTTTGTCTTTATTTCCTTGCGACATAACATTCCTACCATCAATTTAATATGTTCTCACTAGTTCATTTTAGGGCCATAACTTCGATATCTCGGCTTGTAAGGGCCAAAAGAAACTTCTCTTGGTAAAATATTTTCGTCGTGTGCTTCTTGCACTGTCGCATATCTTTTTTTTTTGTTTGAGAATTCTAATCCTCTTCCATAAAATTGTGATTTGTGTCCTCTATGATCATGCTCTTCACAGGCATGTATCAAATTTGAAAGACATGGAGCCCTGGCCCATTTTTTTTTCCTTTTCTTTTCTCACTTGAATAAAAAATAAATGTCATTAAATATAAAAAAAATTATTTAACCTCCACCTTATTCGGAACGGCGATACGTAATCGAAATTATAAATAATTGAAGATATAGCGTAAATAACTAAAATATTTACATATTAAAAAGCCGAAAAAAGAAAAAAAAATGAAAACCGAGCCGAACCAAACCCAACAAAACTGGCTTTTCGGTTCGGTTCATATTCGGTTTGAGTCGAGTTTCGGTTCGGTTCGGTTTGGCCCTAATGGTTTGGCTTAGTTCGGTTTTTCAAGAAAATCGAACCGAACTGTTGACAACCCCGACAGGCAGTGAGCATAATTTATGGTATTTTCGCCACTTTTTCCTCATATAAATAAAAAAAATCTGTTTGATTTCCTTCTTTTTTTCGGGTTTTTTTCCCATTTTTTCTCGTGTCGGGGTAGAAAAATGCAAAGGGGGGGGGAGAAAAGTGGGTCGTCGTCACCTTGGTCCCGCTCACCAAACCTCGCCAGCGACCGAGCAGGGAAAAAACGACGGCGTCTTGACGACGAAGGTCAAAAACCCCAAACCAGCCAGTCACAGCCGCGCATTCACCCACCATCCCTAACCTCGCGTCAATCGCCCAAACCCCTCCCCTCCCTCCCTCCCTCTCTCTCAACTTTTCGCTGCACAGATCCCTCGCCGGCGCCGTCCGTCGCACCGCCGACCGCCCCGCCCCGCCCGTCCTCCCTGCTCCGAGCTAAAAACCCGAAGTTCCCTCCGTCGGGTCCCTTTGCAAAGCTCCCATCTCGCAACGAGGATTCGAAGACGAGCGCTTCCAGATTCCCGCCGCATCCGAATCTGGGGGTTCCGACGACGAGCGCTCGCCGCCGTTTCGCTTCCCCCCCTAGCTCAGCAGGTAACTCGGCGGCGGCGGCGGAGGACCCGCCGGGTTCTGCCGTTCACTTCGTCTGCTCCCGGCTCCTTTTTCTTTCTAGGGTTTGTTTCTTCTGAACTGGTCGGAGCTTGAGATTTGCGCTCTTTGAAATTTCAGCCCCCGAATTTCTTCAGTGCATTGTTGCTGTCCGGGGTGGGCATTGTCGCGGAAGGGCCTCGGTTTCGATCTTTTCGCGTCGGATCGGTCGGCGGGAGGTCTCGGCCGGGTGATTGGCGTTTTCCGGGTTGGTTTTTTTTATGAAGCTGTGTGGAGGAGGAGGAGGAGGGTCTGATGGTGGTTGAAGGGAATGGAGGGGAGTGAGGAAGTTGATAGGAATGGGGCAAATGGTAGTGGCTCCGGCGATGGCCGGCCTCCGAACCCGCTCGCCGCCTCCCATCGGCAGTGCTTGAGCAACGACCGGGTCGCCGCGGTCCCGCGCAAGAAGTCACTTGTTCGTCACCCTTCTCTCGTGAGTTGTCTGATCCCGGCTCTCGTGAATAGTAATGATCTCGGGTTTGATTGTTTGGTAGAACGGCGGCTTGATAAATCCTTGTCATTTACACGTGCGGTTGTTTGAAGTACTAGCTTGTCAGTTGTCAGGTCAATTCTTCAATGTTTTTGAATGGTTAGCTCCTACAATTAGGGATTATGCTGTTTTTTGGGTTTATGATATTTCCTTCTGGACCTGATCCATGGACATTGATTAGTCTGTATAGGAAGCGTTAGAACTGAGTACTTGGTCAAATGCTTGATCCTATTTGAATATTCTGTCCTTACTTCAATAGGTAAAGACAAAGATGTCGGATATCGCTGATGATCCAATCTCGGGTGTATGGAGTTGTGAGTCTGAGTTTCTTCTGGTGATTCGCTCGGGAGCATGCGCTGACATCGGTTATCGTACAAGCATGGAGGATGCATATGTTTGTGTTGACGACTTTGTTCGTGATTATGGACTCACTACCATGGCTGATGGGCCCAATGCGTTCTATGGGGTATTGGCCTTCTCTACTTTCTATTTAACAGGCTTTATGTTGGGAGCATGAGCTGAAGTTGTGCTCGCTGCTATCAGTATCTTTTGGTCTGCATCTGAGTTTTCTTACTCTGCTGATCTCTTGTTCGTCTGTTTTCATGTTGATGTTCAAACTATCTTAACTTGGATGAATGATGTTGATTTGAGTATGACCAATCGTAGAGAAAGGATTTTGTAGCTCCATTGATAGCTCAAATGAAAGACAAGTGACTGTTATTCTGTCTTTCTTGTCTGTCTTTTTGTCCATATGCAATTTGTTGATAGAGGTAGATGCAGATAAGGAATGTAACCTTGGTTTGGTGCTTGAATATTTAATATCTTCTCGTACCATGGAGGCTGCTGCTGCTTTATGACATTATTATCGAAGTTGTGCCACTAAGTGGTATTAAAATTTCTTAAAAATTGCTTCACTGGCTCTTTAGGAAGGACATATCTCGCAATGAACAATCGCTTCCAATTTATTCTATGACCAGGAAAAGTTTTCTGCACTTGCCTTGTATGTTAACATTTTGGTTGCTTTGTTCTGTTTGGTTTTTGAAATACAGATCCAGCTCTCTATGGGAGTTTGTGTTATATGGAATGAATGATGATGTAAGCTTAACATTTTAAGATTATGATTTTGTTTAACCTCTGCTAGAATGTGAGTCGAATTTTATCTACGTTTTTTCTCCAAGTCTTTTAACGAGAGAACTCTTTTATCAATTGACCAGGTCTTTGATGGGCATGGGGGAAAGCATGCTGCTGATTTTGCTTGCTCCAACTTACTGCAGTACATTATTAAAGATGAGGACTTTCCACGGGAGATTGAGAAGGTTGTTTCTTCAGCATTTCTACAAACTGATGCTGCCTTTGCAGAAGCGTGTTCCTTGGATGCTGCTCTTGCTTCTGGGACGACGGCTTTGGCTGCGATTGTTATGGGAAGGTTAGAATTTTGTTTGATGATGAATTTTTCTATAAATAGCCAAGAGAAGGAATATCATTAATCTAGATCCAATTCCGAGCTTATGATGTCTGTTTCTTAGACAGTGGTTGGGTGTTGGGCTTTACTCTTAGGCCTGAATTGTTATCCTTTATTTTGTCTCTTGATTGACAGCATTGTTCCTTTATTTTAATTAACAAAATCGATCTATGCCAACTGTATGTCCAGAATTGTGGGTTTCGATGAGTTGAGTTGCCTTCCTATGATCATTATTTGGTGCCTAATATTGGATTCCATCTACGTATTTTCTTCTGCAAGATTTTGGTGCGAGCTTTATTCCCATCACACCTTGTCCTTATTGATGATGACAACACCATGATACAATAACAAGAACAAGCCTCATTAACGTCCCGAAAATTTTGTGGCTGAATTTGCTTTTGGTGTTTCCATTTGAATTCAAACTTGTCTTTTAGTTCTTGGTCTCGCGTTTTCTGATCATCTCTATTCATTTGGTTTTTTCCTATGTGGTATTATCCCGATGAAGTAAATGCACTCTTAGCCAAAAAGAGTTTGCTTGCAACAATAAAGGTGGAAATTTTGTGCAACTGAGTGTTAGGTTGCGTTGACTCAACTTAGTGCAAGAGTAAAGATGCTCAGACCCGAAATCAAGTGAGCTGGATATTGACATTTAGGAAAAGGCTGAGTTATTGCTGTTGTTGCCCTTTCTTATATACTGCAAAACCTTTGGTCTGAGGGTTTATTTAAAGCATTGTCCATGAGCAGTGCTTTAGCGGCAACTATGCTAAAGCATAAATGATCATAATCTATTCCCTTTCTTTTGTATGTGATAGCATATCATCGATAGTTGCTAATACTGGAGACTGTTGAGCAGTACTATGTTGTCCATGAGCAGAGCAATTTTCTGGGTGCTTTAGTGGCAATTATGCTAAAGCATAAGTGATCATAAACTTTTCCTTTTCTTTTGTATTTGATTGCAGATCGTTGATAGTTGCTAATGCTGGAGACTGTCGAGCAGTACTATGTCGCCGTGGGAGAGCGATTGAGATGTCAAGGGATCATAAACCAGTCTGCACCAAAGAGAAGAAGCGAATTGAGGCATCAGGAGGGTATATCTGTTGTGATGGGTACCTTAATGGACAACTTAATGTAGCTCGTGCTTTAGGTGATTGGCACGTGGAAGGAATGAAAAGTAGGGAAGGAGGGCCACTAAGTGCCGAGCCAGAGCTAATGAGCATGGATCTGACTGAGGAAGATGAATTCCTCATCATAGGGTGTGATGGAATTTGGGATGTGTTTAGAAGTCAGAATGCTGTGGATTTCGCTCGGAGGAGACTTCAGGAGCACAATGATCCAATTATGTGTTGTAAGGATCTGGTAGATGAGGCTTTGAAGAGGAAGAGTGGGGATAATTTGGCTGCCGTAGTTGTCTGCTTTCGACCAGATCCTCCACCCAACTTGATCGCTCCACGCCCAAGAGTTCATAGGAGCTTTTCAGCTGAAGGTTTGAGGGAAATTCAGAGCTACTTGGACGGCTTGGCTGATCGAGGGGATAGAGACTAATTTGAGGTTTTTTGTCGGTTCATTTTCCTCAAATATTTCATCGAGATCAATTTTTACTAACTGTAGGTTTAGGTGGTTATGATTTTTGAGTTACAAACTGTAATATATGCGGGCATAGTGTCAGCAGCACTTTTCATTTTTGTAGAGATCTGCTCTGAGTTCCCAGTGTTGTTTTTGGCCGCTTGATGATACCTTGTTCAGTATTTTCTTCTTGTTTTGTGCATTGAATTATGCACATCGGTAGACTTACTCCGTATGAAAGATTTGACTGTAGGTATCAACTATGAAAATGAGCGCTTTGATTTTTGTATGGAGTTCACCGAATACTTTGAGGCTTCGTTTGGTCGCATGACTCTTTTGCGGATAGGATAAAATTGGATTTGATAAGAACATGATGAAATTCCTAATGTAGTATACAGAATTTGATAAATGTTCTCATATAACATGGATATCGGTATATGAACCACCACATGGAGCTGCGACATGGTCTGGCGACCACTACTAAGGTGGTCGTACTGTGGATGCTAAAGGACGATGACCAAATCAGGCGCGACTGCTGATGTGGTCGCTAAAGGACGGCGACCACGAATCACTGACCAACGCAGGCAGCAACAAGGCGGCCGACACAAGCAAGAATTAGGCATGATTGGTTATCCGGTGGGCTGGTCCTCGGCCTGGATAACAAGGACCGATCCAGTTCGTCCTTGAGAAGCACGGCTAAGCACGGCTTAACACCCTTTGCTCTTTAAATGGTTTCAAAGTAAAAATCGTAGCATATCTTTTCCTTACAAACCGATGCGGGACAACTTTTTAGGATGACTAAAAAGTGAAAAAAAACAAAATAGGAGCCCAAGTGTGAGATCCCGCCTCAATTTGTAAGGAATGGGATACGCTGCTTTTTTACTTTTTAAGGCAAAATAGAGCCCAAATATGAGATCCACATCGACTAGTGGGAGTATCCTACAGATTATGGATTATTTTAATATACTAAGGGCTTTTTACTGAAAAAAAAAAACAAAAGAACGATGCCGATTAGGTTCGATACTACCTTAGAATCGGGAATTGGACCGAAAAGTGTCGGGAATTGTGGAATTGGACTGGTGCTCACCCGTAGGAAGAACAAGGTGAGAACAAAGGGAGAGAATATCGACATTGACCAAAGCAGGCGATAGAAAGGCGCGATCTCCTACGAACCTTGGTGATGATGACCATGAATAGTTGTGAGCGCCTCCCTCTCCCCCCGAAGCGTTAGACCTCTGTTGCGCCATCGCGCTTTTCATCTCTCCCTCCCCTGTCACCGTTGTTGTTGAGAGGAAGGCGATCCAGTGGAAAACGAGATCGAGCTCGAGCAAGGGGTTTTGAGCTTATCGGCCCTCAACCTGAGCCCAGGCTCGGACCTCATATGTGAGCTCTAAGGCTCGATCATGCCGCCTGAGCTCGGGCTCTATGATATCGAGGACGGCCATGGCTTGCCTAGTGGAAATTAGAGGTGACGGGCACTAGCCTAGTGTTGAGGTGTTGATGGTGATTGGTTGCGGAATGCAGAGGTTGCGACGGTGGTTGAGGGTGGAGGCGACGACGACCGGCTTTCACGGTGGTGGTCCTAGCGTGGCGGCCGATGGTTCTATTGTTGCAGGCGGCAAAGGGCGGTGAGGCGGCACCAATCATGATCATTCAATATCCAGAGACATCCAGATTATGTCACACCCCTTAGGTTGGATTTTTTTTTCTTATCTGGACAACATCTGAACATATACGGATCTTGCATTGTCCCAAGCATACATCAGATAAAATATTCTATCCGGGGTTATATCTGGCCTACCAAACGTAATCTAAGAATTGCAACAGTTACATTTAGAAAGCTTTTTCGCCTAACTTCTAGGATCCCCAGCTTTTAAACTTATTTCATTTCACCATATGCAAGTGCTACGGCATCTGACAAGCCTTAACCCCAGAATTAAGCACACGAGAGCACAAGTTGATCTGTATATATTCGAACTTTGCTTTACAACCATGTTTTGTATAAGCAGGAAGACAAGTGCGGCAACTTATTAATTGAAGTAGTCGTTATGATTACTATGAAAGTACATTCCACTTTCTTCAATAAAACTTTTGATCCGCATATATATCTTGGAACTACTGAACTTGTATTCAATTTCTCTCCGATCTCCTGTTGTGCCGTCATCATCTCTTTTGGAAGTTGAATGTTCTGATTGAGAAGGCAAAGATGAATCCAAAGAGGACAGGGAATCCGATCAGCACGATCGCAACTACTCCCAAGAAGTCATGCTTGAACCCAAAATAACTCCGCGCGAACTCTTCCACGGTCTCGCCAGTGTCGAGCTTGTCCTTAACATCTCCATACTGCGAGGCCACCAGTCCGTACATTGTCCAAGAAACTGGACATGCCCAGTAATACCATCTCCACCAGACAGGTATTCTCTGTTAAAACAAAAGTATCAGCCCTCATCAGTTATGATTTTCCTTTGAAGTCTTTTTCTATTTGGTTTGAGTGAAGATATCTATGAGCTTACTGTTTGAGGCACGACGAATCCCGAGAAAAGGTTCCAAATCAAATAGAATGCGGAAGAGGTTATGGCGGCTATGTGTTGGTTGGGCGTGGCTGCCACGCTCATCATCCCATAGAAAGTGTAGTATAACAAGGTGAAGAACATACAGAAGATGTACCAGAAGAACTTGCCGGCTGTCCAATCGAACCCAATCATTGCATAGACAATCACTCCATAGATGACAGTTTGGACAAAGATGTAGGGGATCTCGATGATAACCTGTGCGAAACAATTTTGTCAAATAACATGATGGATTCTCTCCAGACTCTTTCGAGTGCTAAGGGCTTGTAGTCATTGCTATTTTCCAGTGATCTACCAACTCTAATTCTCTCACTTAGTTACGAAAGGGAAACATGTCCGTACATGTGCAAAGGCATAGGGCAGAGCGGAATACATTCCAGCTGCTCTCTCTCGATAGAAGACTGTCCTCTCAACAGCCACAACTGGTTGAACCGACGATGCATTCTGAAATCCGATGAAAATGATAGCCGTGTACATAGAGCCCATGGCGTTGAAGAGATCTTGCCGGTTTCTCCTGTAAGTTCCTCAAGTTTTGAGCAAATAATGCTGTAACTGAGCCAGTATACTTCTTTTCCCTTTCGCGACCAAAAAAAGAGTTGTACTAATATATATATATATGCATAGGGATTTCTATCTATTACCTTTTGGAGCCGAGATTCCAAAATATCGTGCCGAACATTAAAGCGATGAAAGTTGCGTATAGAAAGTCTCACGGCGTTGTATGCTGGGTTCCGCCAATACGACCAGTGTTGTTTCCATAGGCAAGCCATACACTGGATGGAGAACGATTGTGAATATCGTGTTGGAAAATAGAGATCCTTCGACCCTGGTGGAGATGTACCTAGTTCCTTGATCAGAGCTTTGTTTCTCCTGATTTGACCATTATAGACACCGGACATGTAAACGGTCTGCTACTAGCATTCTAATCTCTTTTTGATAATCTCTTTGAGCTTGTCGAGCAGAAAAACGAAAATGTTTCTGCTTCTGAAAAGTAATTTCTTACCTAAACAGTTCCGAATTCCTGTACACTTCAGTGAAGTCAACCCCTAGGATTTCTTCTTGAGCAGCTGTCGTCACCTCCAACATCCAAGTCGCCGGATTGTATCCGTCTTTAATTTTCGGAACTCCGCTAACACCGTTTGATTTAACGCATGAAATGTTAGCATTTAAAGCTCAATGTAATCTAAACTCGGCTTATTACTGCGCAGCAGTGAGCTCACCTCAAAGTAGTTGATCAGGTGTGAGGAACGCTGGCCTAATGGACCGACATAGATCTCCTCTCCGCCTCTTTTCAGAAGAAACAGCTGCATATTAATAAGGAAAATCTCTCAGATAGATAAATCCTGTGAAAATACAAGCAAACATATAGCTTGGTCCCTTATGAGAATTTTCGTCGAACCTCATCAAAAGCATCAAATATGTCGATGCTCGGCTGGTGGATGGTACAAACAACAGTTTGCCCCGTATCAACTGATGTGTTTCGAACCGTTCTCATTACTATAGCAGCTGCCCTGGCATCGAGGCCGGAGGTAGGCTCGTCCATGAATATGATCGACGGGTTGGCTACAAGCTCCATTGCAATCGTCAGCCTTTTCCTCTGCTCGATGGAGAGGCCATTCGCAGCAGGCAACCCAACTTGCGCTTCTCGTAAGGGGGTAAGCTCTACGAGTTCCATCACTTCTTCAATGAAAATCTGCAGAAGTTGGATCAAATTACTAGCTAGCATCCTAAATGCTGGGAGGGACTCGGGGGCCTCAACAATATTATGCTGTCTGAAATGTTAATGAGCTGTGGTTATCCTTTGAGAGATGCCAAAAATTGTTTCGATCGATGTGGGGAACAATGTAAACCATGAGGAAAATTCTGTCGGGTGCAGCTTATCGAGAAAACCCGAACTGTCTTCTGAAAAAGTGGGAACGTATCTTTTCTACTGATAAACATGTAAAGAGTATATCTAAGGCGCCAGATGACATGAACTAAGGGACCAAGTAATGTCTCTACCTTCCTAGTCTCAGAATCCACTTCAGGAGGTAAACGAAGCCACGCAGAATACACCAAGGACTCTTTAACTGTGACGTGAGGAGAGTGGATATCGGTTTGTTCGCAGTATCCCGATATGCGAGCGAATGTTTCTTGCTTCTTTGGGTACCCAGATACAGTGATTGTCCCGTTGAAGTATCCACCGGTTTTCCTTCTGGCCAACACGTGCATTAGAGTGGTCTTTCCTGCGCCGCTGACACCCATTAAAGCCGTCAACACTCCTGGCCTGAAAGCACCACTCACACCTTTTAGAAGTTCCAGCTGATCTTCAGGAATGCCTTGTGCTTTCATTTCCTGCAAACGTAAAAACAAACTCGCTGATTCAGTCATCTTCGACACATCGAAAAGTCCTGCCCATCAGTTCAATTGTCAGAACCAAAGCATCTTTGGAGCAAACAGTACCTGGGGCATGTCGACGGCGTATCTGATATCATCGAAAGCAATAGAAAGCGGCTCGAAAGGAAGAACCATTCCTCGTATCCTATTCTGATCCGAATTGTTTATTTTCCCGACTCTCGTAGACAATGTTCCTGATGCGGAGCTTCTTCGGCGTCCACTCTCTTTTTCTGTATTATCACGATACTGATGCCTTTAGCTTGAGTTCTACTTGACAGGTGAAAAGTGAAAGATATGTGGGTTCTGGGGCTCACCAGATGAACTCCTCTGGCTCCCTCTTGATGATAGCCCAATGACCTCTCCATTCTTGCTCGCAGTTTTCTCTGCCAGAGTCTCCTTTGAAAGTACAGCTTGAGGCTTCCCAAATGCTGCAGCCAAATGTAAGTCATTCACCAAAACTGTACAATGAATCCCAAAAATAACAGCCTTGCGAGAGAGGCTTACGGTCCAGATATTTCAAGGCCACAGTGAACAGGAAATTAAAAAGAAAAATGTATCCAATCGATGCTCCTACTCCGATCCAATACCAATGCGCTTCAGGTAAAATTCCCCGGGACTTCAGGACCAAAACTCCTAAGGGTTCTGTGTAGTTAGGAGGAATCTATACCACAAAAGCTCCGAAACTTCATCAGTTGATACACTTAACAATTTTAGCGACCTTTATTAATTCTTTGTACTGTCTTTAATGACAGTTTTGTAAGAAGGTACTTACATGTCCCCACTGCTTTCCAAGAAATTCATTTACAGCGATAGCGTTCTGTCCATACATCATTAAGGAAATCCAATAAACCCATATCCACCACGGCTTAATATCATCTGATTTCAAAGAATGTCACATCAGGAAATTGCATATGTGAATTGCACACCGAAAGAAGAATATTTTAGACATCTGGTTGACCTCTTGATATGATGAATCCGCTGATGACAAAAACGGTGAGTAATCCAAACGTTCCAAAAGTATTCGCCACGATCATGTTCCTTCCTAGTGCCCCAACGAATCGGAATAATCCAGATGTCACCTGATGTAGGCATAGGAGCAGAAAATACTGTTTGAAGAACCTGGTATCATAGATTTTATCAGTATCTGAATCATTGGATCGAAGTTTGAAATTTTGAAAAACCGTAATTTTATCAACCTTCCAGCATAAGGGTCAAAGCCTATGACATAGTAAGTCATGATCACCCAAATAGCAACTTCTACAAGGGTGCTCGGAATCTTCAGGATACATGTGGGTAACGAATATGCCCACGCAGGAAAGAAGAAGAGGTCTCTCTGCTTGTAGAAGACGGGGAGCTTCATGATGGTCATGCCAAGCTCTGAGAATCCATTGAACATTATAATGAGCAAAGTGAAGTAGAGAGCACCGAAATAAATCCCACCGTCCATCACTGTATCTCGGTGCATATCAGTCCGTAGGAACACCGTCATTGTTATGAACACCGTCATCGGGAAAATTGACAGACCAAACGCATCGCTTAGTCGGAATTACGGGCTAAATTAAGAATACCAATTCTTCAACTTGCTCACCTGGAACATATTAAAAATGTAGAGGGAAAAAACCACCAAAAACCCCAAACTTTGCCATCTGTGACACATTTACCCCAAACTTTTTTTTGTGACACCAAAAACCCCAAACTTTGCTATTTGTGACACATTTACCCCAATATACTGTAGCCTAGGGTATTTTAGTCTTTTTCCCTTTTTCTATTTTTTTTCTGTTTTTTTTTTCTTTTTTCCGGCAAGGCTGCCCTCGCCGGAGAGGTCTCCGGCGACCTCGCCGGCGCAGCGAGGTCTCCGGCGACCTCGCCGCGCGCAGCGAGGGCCGCCTCGCCGGCGTTGGGCGAGGGCGGCCCTCGCCTCGCCGGCGTCGGGCGAGGACCCTCGCCCGCCCGGGCGAGGGCGCCCTCGCCGGCGTTGGGCGAGGGCGCCCTCGCCTCGCCGGCGTCGGGCGAGGGGCGCCCACCGGCGTCGGGCGAGGGCTTCCTCGCCCCGCCCGGCGAGGGCGGCCCTCGCCAATCCCGACGGGCGACCCTCGCTCGACGCCGCGAGGGTCGCCCTCGCCGGATCGGCGAGGCGCCCTCGCTCGCCCAGGCGGGCGACCCTCGCTCGGCGCCGGCGAGGGCCGCCCTCGCCGGATCGAGCGAGGGGCCCTCGCCGGCGTCGAGCGAGGCGGCCCTCGCGCGATCCGGCGAGGGCGACCCTCGCCGGCGTCGAGCGAGGGTCGCCCTCGCCGGATCTCGCGAGGGCGCCCTCACTGGGCGGGGCGAGGGAAGCCTCGCCCGACGTCTAGCTGGCAGCCTCGCCCGCCCTGAGCGAGGGCGCCTTCACCTCGCCCGGGCGGGGCGAGGGTCCTCGCCCGACGCCGGTGAGGCGAGGGCTGCCCTCGTCCAACGCCGGTGAGGGCAGCCCTCGCCTGGGCGGGGCGAGGGTCCTTCGCCCGACGCCGGCGAGGCGAGGGCAGCCTTGCCGGAAAAAAGAAAAAAGAACAGAAAAAAAATAGAAAAAGGGAAAAAGACTAAAATACCCTAGGCTACAGTATATTGGGGTAAATGTGTCACAAATAGCAAAGTTTGGGGTTTTTGATGTCACAAAAAAAAGTTTAGGGTAAATGTGTCACAGGGCAAAGTTTGGGGTTTTTTTGTGGTTTTTTCCCAAATGTAGACAAATAAGTTTCTCTTCATTAGCAAAAGTTCCCTCGAAACGCAAGCTCTCAACAGTTCTTTCTGGCTCACCCCATACTTCTTAGTTGTTAGAGCAGCTGGATGGCCTTTCGACTTGTCGAACGGGATTGCAAGTTGGTCGCCTACTTTCTGACCGATGTGAAATGATTGAAATGCTTCGGAAAATTCCTTGAGGGTTACAAATCTGTAAGGGGAGTCCTTATGCGCCCAATACTGCTCTTGATCTTTCCTTGAAGTCACCTACAGATCACATTACGGGACAAAATTATGAATGAGTCAATTGTCACTCATAGAACGAAGAAAAAGTGATTTGAAAATATTACTTCTTGCAAGAAATCAGCTACTCCTTTCCTTTCAGGACATTTAAAACCCATGTGATCGAAAGAACTCAAGCACGTTTTCTCGGGGACCTTGGTACACGATTTGTCCATCCGAGAGAAGGATGATATCGTCAAACAGGTCGTAAGTTTCCGGTGCAGGCTGGAGGAGGGAAATTAGAGCAGTCCCATTGAGGATGTGTATGGACTGTCTGAGTGAGCTCACTATTTGAAAAGTTGTCGAACTATCCAAGCCGGTGGATATTTCATCCATAAAGAGCGCTTTGGCTGGCCCCACGAGCATCTCCCCTGTTTTATGTCAAAACGAAATTGAACAAAATCAACCGAACTTGAGAAAAAAGTCATGGCAATCATCCATCTACATGATATACTAAAGCGGCCTTCTGGGTCTTACCCGTTGTGACTCGTTTCTGTTGACACCTATTTTAATTGGCCCAAAAATTAATTACACAAAATTTAGGAATTAATTTTCTTTAATTCCTAAAATAAAAAAATATTTCTATTTAAATACATTGCATATAGAATTTAGGCACATTTGTATTAATAGGGTCTACTAGAATGTTTAAACAAAAATTTCAAAAAAAAAAAAACGAACGAGTCGGGCCGGGTCGGGGCCGGGCCAACCCGACCCTTTTTCCTTTTCCTTTTTTCCCCGCATGGGCCCAAACCCGCTTTTTCTTTTTTTTTTTTTTTCCTCCATGGCCGGCCCGGCCCGGCCAAGCCCCTTCTCCTCCTTCTTCCTCCCCGCCGAGCGCCGTCCTTCCCCTCGTTCTCCCCTCAAGGCCGACGCAGGCGACGAGCGGCGGAGCGGCCTCACCCCGTCCCTATCCGGCTAGAGCAGGCCGGGGCAGCACGCCACAGGGACTGGCCTTAATGGCCAGTCCCGTCCCCCCCGTTTTCCCGGGCCTCCCTTATCTCATTCTCCCTCTCTTCCCCCTGTTTCTTTGCTCTGCCGTCTCAGAGCCTCCCCCTGCTCTGCACCGGCCTAAGTGGCCACGAAGTCACGGGCTAGCGTAGGCCGGTGCAGGCCGTCGTCATGCAGACGAAACGGAGCAGAGAGACGCGTTGTCGCCGGCTATATATAGCCAGAGAGAGAGAGAGAGGCCGATCGGCCATTTTGGAGAAAAACACGGAGAGAGCGTGAGAGTGTGAGCCGAGAGAGAAAGGGAGCTTCCGGCGGCCACTGCGCCTCAGCTTCAACCATCCATCCCCGTCACCGAGCCGACAGTGGCGACACAGAGAGCTAGAGAGCCTGGGTTGGCCATTTTGAGAGAGAAACAAAGAACAGAGAGAGAAGAGAGAGAATAGAGAGAGAGAGAGCGCAAACAGAGGTCACGCCGGAGCCAAAAGAGAACCAGCAGTGGTCGTCGACGTCCCCAGACCAGCCGTAAGCCCCTCAGAAGCGTCGCCAATCAGTGAGCCCTCGGCCGAGAACCGCCTCTGTTTTCCCCTGTTTTCCGGCGTGGTTGGGCCGGGACTCGCGCCGGCCGTTTCGCACGAATCCCGGCCCATACCGACGTCGGTCCCGGTCCCTGCTCACCGTCTGAAGCGAACCATAGCCGTCGGAGTCGACCAGGTCGCTGGAGGAGGTCGAAATCTTTTGATTTTCATCGCGCACGCCAAGTGCTCGATGAAATGCTTCCAAGAGCTGGGTTTGTCTTTGGCCGCCGGCCGGCGATCGAGCAGTCGGACGGCAAGCCTAGTCGTCGGAACAGGTAGGTGGGGCTTGTGGGGTGAAGACCCAGGCCATGGGTGGCCTGGGTTGTCCGGCGAAGCTCCCGCGTGCCTAGACACGCGGGAGCCGTCCCCAGACCGGCCTGCAGACCGGTCCGACAGGCCTGCAGACCGGTCCGACAGGCCTGCAGACCGGTCCAATCGGTCTACAAGTAAATAGGGCCGGTTCGACCCGGTCGAACCGGCCCTATTTCGTCTTTTTCCACCGGACCGGGACCCAACCGGGCCCGATCCGGTCCAGTCCAGACCCGGGTCAATGACCCTGGTTGACCCTTTGACCCGGGTCGGATCCGGAAATCCGACCCGGTCAACGTAATCGGTCGGGTCCGTTGACCCGGGTCGGATCCGACCGACCCGGATCCGCCGACCCGACCCGGGTTTTAATATTATATTAATATTTTTATTTTATTTTATTTTAAAAAAAGAAAATTTAAAAAAATTTTAAATTAATTTTTTTTTCTTTTTCTCTTCTTCTGTTTTTTTTGAAAAAAAAGAAAAGATTCTTTTTTTAAATTATGTGATATTTCTAAGTGTTTTGTTTTATTGTGGTATTATTATGCATGTTTTTGTCTTGTTTAAATTAGACAAGCCTAAGGTTATGCGGTAGTATTTTGCGTGTTTTTATTAATATTACCGTTGTATTGTTATGCATGCTTTTTAATACAATCGCATGAGTTGTTGTATTTTGAATGTCATCTGACTTAGTTAAGGTTAGAACCTTAGGCTGCATGAATTGTTGTGTTTTTGACTGCTAATCGTTTCTGATTATGCACTCGCTTGATCACCTCACATGTTAGGAGAAAGGTCCTAAAATCAATCCAAACTGCCTGATAAATGTTTTAAAAAATGAACAGGGTAAAATGGTACCGAAAGGGCATTAGTTATCCAACTAGTGTAATCAAGTTCCCGAACTCAATTAATCTCTGGTTCGTAGGAATAGGGTGATTCTCCCATCACCTTATTTGGGTTTCTAATCGACCCACCCCAAATCGATTAGTGGCGACTCCTTGGTATAAACCACTTGCATGTTAAATACTTAAACCCTAAGTCGTGATATAGTATGGGCTTGGGAGAGCCTTAGTTAAGTCCTGAACCTAGACTTAGCACGTACCAGGCGAACCCTCCCTTTTTGCATGTTTGATAAAAAAGAGGGCTCGGGAGTTCGGTCGCGACAGACTGGCGACTCCACTGGGGACTTGCATTTTTTAAAAGTGGACTTAGGCCAAAAAAATTTTATCCTGTTCAAAATGATTTTTGTTTGGCAGCAAGGACTCCAGGTATGAACCTGATATTAAGGTGTTATTTGCTCTTGCAGGTTCAAATTGATTGTGTGTAAATTGTTGTGCATGCCTTAATGATTTAGCACTACACTATTGCACACACAACCACGCTGCCGGACCTGGGCCGCAATATGGCATTTTAGGATGGTGTTAAGAAAGATACGACCTCGAACGCGAGCCCGCGATGTAGAGGTTGCCTTTCTTTTCCCGAAATTTATTTCTAAAAAATTGTAAAGAAATATCTTTAGCCGCTATTCGCGTGACTATGAGATATTCCTTTCGATTTGGCTGAGGTTAAAAGGACTTGACACCAACGCGAGACTGCGACGGTCAGGCACCCTTTTAATTTCATTTTGCTGAACCAGTCTAAATAGAAATCGAACCTCACTCCTCATGCGCATGTCTCTGTGATTGCCATGGTTCCTGGTAAAGTAAGTTTTCTATTCATGCACTTTGCAATTTATTTATTTTTGTATATTCCGGTCGATCCATGATTAGTCTAGGTTAGTTGTGGATTTAATACCGTAATCGTTTTGGAAGAAATAGTTACTAAAATTTTTTCAGAATACTTACTTTCAGTTCGTACCTTTATTTTTATAAACACATTACAAATCATTGTTTTCCCATACGATTTCTTGTCGTTTTTAAAAAAAGAAAAAAATTGTGTATAAATAAAAAAAACGCACCCTGGTAACACTACCAGCGCTTCGGCCTGGTGGTACCCGGGAGTGAAGGTGGTCCGAGGCAATCGGGGTTCGAACCTCGGGGACGCCGTTTGTAATGTTAATATAAATAAAAACCTTTTTTTGCTTCCCCTATTTTTTGCAAATAAAGAAAATACATGATAGACAGATGCAATACTAGACTAAGTCATGGACTGATCATTTATAAGATTTTATACTCATTCGTTGCCATTTTTTTAACAGGTAATTACGAATTATACCAACCCGCTAAGTAAAAATGACTGAAAAAGATATGACAACTCGTGTGGCGGACATGGAGACCGAAATGAAGCAAGTCTTCGCCTTTCTTCAACAACTCTCAAAACAAGTGGAACATCTGTCAGTCCGCTTAGACCAACTCACCATGACTCCACTTCGCCATCCAAGACCAGGGGTGATAATTCAAATGGAGCCCTCCAGTCCCAACCAAAAGGGTAAAGATGTCATGGCTGACAATGTCCACGAGTCCCCTGATCCTAAGGAATTGAGCACCCTATGCCCAAAGTTCATGCAACGTGAACAATACAAACCCGGTATCCCTCCATCCCAAAGGAGAAATAACAAAAAGCAGTTCACGCCACTCCCTTGGCCTATGTCTCAGATCCTGCCTATTCTCCTGGAAAAGAGGTTGCTTGCTAAAGAGCCAAAGCGTGAAAGTCCTGAGCGTTTTCCCAACTACGATCCCTCCAAGGCATGTGACTATCATTTGGGCGAAATAGGACATTCCGTCAATGACTGCATTGTCTTGAAAAATAAGGTCCAGAAATTGTTAGATGCAAAGATGTTTTCATTCCGCAACGCACCACCCAATCAAGCAGGAGGCGCTGATGTCGTCATTGAGTAAACTGAAGACTCAATTTTCCTCCTTTAGAATAGAGGCATATTTAATAGTTTGAATCCTCCTATGTGGGAGCTTTTCTTGCTTTCTAAAGTCTCAGCTGTTTTCTAAGATTCCCAGTTTTCTGAATTTTTAATTATGCTTGGAATTTTAGTATTGTAATTTCCATTCCAACAAATGTAATTCGCCTGAATTATTCAAAAGAATTACAAATATTTTGTTTTGAGGGCCTGAGGAAGTATCCCAAACCGGCCCGTTGATGATATCCAGCCATGCAAAGGAAAGTGTTCTGAGGCCCCGGCTTTCTCATGCTTCCTTGTTTCTAAGC